CTAAAAGGAGGGTATGCTGAGGGACAGTAGCTTCACGTTTTGACTCTTCTGCATTGGTTTCTATGATTCTGTATATCTTTATAAATTTATGTATTAAACTTTTTAGGAGCAATCATTCTATTGGATTTATAGTTTTTAAAATATCTTTCTCTTTTAGAAATGCATATGATAATCTTGGAAATGAAATGGTCTGAGACCTCGGAGTTGCTGCAGAGCCACTGTGGTGGCAGAGACAGGCAAGAGGTAGATGGAATTAGAGTTGGAAGCAGATTGCCATGTACTGGCAGACGGTTTTCATTAAGAACACCATGGCATTACATTTGAAATCACAAGTGAAATTCATTACTCTTTAGAAATAAAAGTAAGTAAACAAATGAGCCCATGAAGGAATAAAAAAAATCTTTACTCAAACAGCATGAGCTGAACTCAAAGCCCAAGCCCCATTTAAATGATTCAGAGAAAGGCAATTTTGGAACCCGTTCAACCAAATGGTCAAGGCAATCTAATGGCCATCTTTTGTAAACTCATTCAAAGCATACAAAATGATGGACAATTACTCAACTCATTTTGCCAGCCTAGCCCTCCTAGATTCAAAGCCCGTATGAGAACCCCCAGGAAAACAACACATGAGCCAAGCTCTCTCATAGAGCAGCAAACAGCCAAATAAATTAATAGCCTATTCAACATAGCAGTGAAGTAAATGAGCCAACAGGATGTGTTCAAAGAATAGAAATATTATTTAACATTAATTTCAATTGTCAGTCCTTCCATACAAATAAGAAAAGAAAGTAACATTTGATTTCATCAATAGGTATCCAAAGCAGCCTTTGAAGGAAATTCTATACAAATTCATGGTAAAACATTTTTCCAAACAAAAATGAGATGAGAACTTTCATTATCTGTAGTCTCAGCAAACACACTTAAATATAAATTGTTAAATTTCCAGTAATGGCAGAAGAAAAAAAAAGTTTACTGTCTCATCTGTTCTTCAAAACTGCACTGGAACACACTGCCAGAGCTGGGGCTGTCAAATCAAACACAAGGTACTCACATTGAAGAGAAAGATATAATGTTTTGAGGCACATTATCATCTATCATCAAATTCAAAGGAATAGACACATGGAGTATTCAAATTAGTAACAGACTTCAGTAGGAGGCTGTATGGAAGATCATCATAGGAAAATGTAGGCCTTAGATGCACAAAAGTGGTAACTGTTTATAATGTGTTATTAAAAAAATTCCATTGACAAAAGCAACAAAATGTAAAAATGGCCTAAGAAGAAAGCAAATGGAAATGTATAAGCCTTTATGGAACCCGTTAAAAAACGAGCTCGTAAATGCAGGTAAACCAAAGAACCCAAACCCAACTCGCTGCCCTCGACTGGATCCCGGCTCATAGGCTGTCAGGATAAACACTGCCATCCACCCTCCTCCACCTAAGGGCACTCAGGGAGTGAGAGCCTTGTTGTTAAAGGGAGTCAAGTGGGAGTCCCAATAAGAACATGAGGGAGGGAGGAATGGTGGGACCTTGGGCTGCAGAACAGAGACCCCACAAAATCCAGTCCTGCACCTCGCTAGCAGCCCACCACAGCCAGGGCAGCGCTCTCAAGCTGAGCAATTGCCCTCACTGAAGTGAGGTCTTAGTTTGAGGGGGCTTTCTTCAAGCCAGGGGAGTGTCGGCTTTGCTGTAAGAAAGCCAACATAGTGACTTCCGTAGGACTGAGGGATCTACCCACCCCAGTACGGTTCTGCCCCTGCTGTCTGTCTTGGGATGGCTTCCGGGTATAGGGGGTGCAGCCTCTGATAACCCCCTGAGAAGACTGAGGGTCTGAGCAGCAGAGGGAGGGTCCCAGGTTATTTCAGGAATCAAAGGGAAACTCCTGAGAGCGCATTCAAGAAATGTGTCGATCCAGACAGAGGGCGCTCCAGAGAAACTTGCCCTTGGCTTCAGCCCTGGGGGACCCGGGCAGAGCACCGGGATCAGGGTCCCTTCTCTTCTACCTGGGGGGTTTCAGCGGGGTTTGGATCTGGTCCGAGGGGGTTGGATCTGTCAGCAGAGGGAGGTGCCTTAGGTTTTATCAGGAGTCAAGGTACAGGCCCGAGGGAACATGCAGGGGGAGGGGGGCGGCCTCGAACAAGGAGTTGGGGAGGGGCCTCTCGTGTGGCATATTCTGCCAGCCTTGCCAGGCCCTGGGTAAGGCGCTAGCCTCCACTACTTTCCTGTAGGGGGCGTCTCGGGGGGATGTGTGGGAATTTCAGGACTGAAAATGAAGTCTTTTAGTGGTACCCTCCTACAAAGCGGGATCCCCCCTCACACCCCCCCACGCAATGACGTACAGAAAGCGCGCGCCGCTCTGCTCTGCCCCTGCTGACAACTCCGGGAGACCCTGTTGAAGGCACCGGATGTGGTTTCTCGGGATTTCCAGGCACTGCCTCAACGAGGTGAGGCCGCTATCCCCGTGCCGGCTCTCTCAGACGCCCAGGTGAGGACAGAGGGGACCTCGGATCTCAGAACTGGTCTCGCCTGCGCACCGGCTGCTGGCTCATAGTGGTCTCCCACAGGGGACTGTAACCTTTTAAGGGAGTAGAAAGCCCCGTCTTTCTCCTGAGGAGATTTCTAACCGCGGGCCATACGCGTCGCCGCCCAAGGCGGAAGGAACTCCAAGCCACCAGGGTTCCTGCAGTCTCCTCAAAGGCCCCACATAGCTCCGGGATAGCTAAGGTCCCTTGTTTCAGCTGCCGCTCTGAGGGGACGCGGGCGGTTTGACGACAGGGAGCCCATGGATGGTCAGAGGGGAGGGGACAGGGCCCTGCCAGGGGTCCCAGAGAGCTCTGAGGGGACCCTGAAACTCAACAGATAGCGCCCCAGAGGAACGCTGCCTTCACCCCCACTCCCGGGTCAGACCTAAAAAGCCCAAAACCAAATTCACTGCCAGTTCTGATTCATGGCGACCCTATAGGACAGAGTAGAACTGCCCCCTTGAGTTCCCTCGGCTGTCACTCTTGACGGGAATACAAAACCCTGTCTTTTTGCTGCGGAGCAGCTAGCTGGTGGCTTCAAACTGGTCACCTCATGGCTCATAGCCCAACCTGCAACCACGACGCTGCCGGGGCGCAGGAAAGCCCTCAACTGCCGCTGCCCGCCTGTGGGCCCCGCTGTCTGAATAGGACAGGTGGTCGGGCGTCTGAAGGGGAAGGGGCCCCCTCGATCATCGAAGGGGGTGTGTGTGTCCAGGCCCTTCCAGGAGTCAAAGAAAGGTTCCTGAGGCCGGCATGAAGAGCCCCCTGCCTCAGAACTCATGGAAACCCCACCCAACCCAATGTCCGCCCCTGAGAGCCCCCCAGGTGGGCGTGGCTGTACGTGATAGGCCCTCACTTCCACCATGGAAATCTCAGGGAGGTGGGGAATTGACCTGAGTGGGCTGCTTCCGGTCGGCTGAGGTAGGAATCAAGGCGAGGAGCCTACGGGATGAGGAGGGAAATCCTCCAACCCACAGAAACCCCTCCTGACCCCACTGGCCAGGCCGGAGACCCTGAATGCTGCTGTAAGGCCCAATCTAACCTCCTCATATCTGCTCAGGGGTTGAGGAAGGCAAAGCTCTTGAGTGAGGGGGCTGGCCTCAGGTCACCAAAGGAGGATTCTCTGGTTAGGACTCAACGCCAGAACTTGGTCCTGCCCCTTGCTGTCAGCCCGGGGAGATCAAGGGTCCAGGTGGCCTAATATTGGTGTTTTCTCACTTCCACCAGAGGGAGCGCCCAAGAAGGAGAGAAGAGGTGTGACGACTAGCAGAGAGAGGAGTGCGAGGACCCGTTACAATTCAAGGTGAGGACCCTGAGGATGAGGACGTGCGAAGGGAAGCCCTCACCCTAGAGACAAGGGAACCCACAGAATCCTGACCCTGCTGTTAGCCCTAGAAGACTTAGGTTCCGGGTCCCTTGGTGCGAGGCCTCCTCACTTCCACCTGGGGGTCTCGGAGAGGGAAGAGTCTTCAACTGAGGTGAAGGACAGAGACAGGTCAGAGAGGAAGAGGTCCTAAGCAATGCCAGGAGTCCATGCAGGAACCCTAAGAGAACACTTTAGGGACCTTAGACACAAGAACAGAGAGCACACCACCGAATCCCCACATGACCTTCCTGTCTATTTGACCTAGTCAGTGAGAGGGAGGGAGGAGGAAGCGGTCTCAAGGAAGTCAGGCTTTGATCTGAGCAGGTCAGCACGGGAGCATGCCAACTCTTCCAGAAGGAAAGATGGGAGGATTTAGGACATCCAGGAAGCGATGGGCCCCAGCTTTGCCCTTCTCTTTTGAACACTGAGAGGCATTGGGCAGCGTGGCTGGACGGGGGCACCCCTCACCACCTTCATTGGTCTCAGGGATGGGAACTCTTGATTTGAGAGTTCTCTCACTGCTAAGCAGAGGGGCTGCTGCCCTGAGTGAGCAGCAAGGATGCCATTCACCCAGAATTGTAGGGACCTCACAGAGTTCACCATGGCCCTCAGGACAGCACGAGGGCTTGAAGTCAGCACCCTGAAGTGCCTCTCCGTTCCTCTCACGGGGCTGCAAGGCACAGAAGAAAGGAAGACCTTGGTCGGAGTTCCTAGTTCTCGGCTCAGCAGAGCAGGGGAGACACAGATTCTACCAGGAGTCCACACGAGGACACTGAATGTGTGTCAAGGCCCCATTCATTTGGGAAGAGAGTGGGCCCCAGAGCCCTTGACCCATCCCCCCCACTGTCAGCTTGAGAAGCCAGGGCTGTATTCTGAGGAGTTTTAGTTTAAGACTCTCCTTCAGGGTGTTAGAGGACAGGCCGACAGGAGGCCCGGGAGGCCCTGGAGAAGACCTGTATATGTCAGCCCTTGTCAGAGACACCAAGGTGAATTTGTCAGCTGAGGTCACACACACACACACACACACACATCCTCTCTCTCTCTCTTTTTCTCCTGCAGACGTGTGAATTCCCATCACCTACCCTCCTGCCTATTGTCCCCGACAAGACTCATCATGCCTCGCCGGTCAAAGCGTCGCCGTTACACGCTTGAGCAAGGTGTTCATTTCCCAGGTGCCACCTTGGACGAGGAGAGGGAGCAGGTCCTCCATTTGGAGGAGGAGAAGGAGGAGGTCTCCTCATCCACCACCTGCTCGTCCTCCTTACCCAAGACTTCTTCCTCCTCCTCTTCCTCATCTTCCTCCCCTCTGCTTCTCAGCACTCCCGAGGAGGCATGTGCTATTGGGACACCCGACTCTTCGCTGAGTTCCCCAATACTGTGCTCCCCCTCAGAAGCCATTGAATTCAGTCTGTCCAACAACTCAGCCGATGATTCCAGCAGCTCTGAGGCCGAGGCTTTTCAGCCCCCACCAGATCCGGAGATGCTGCTCAGCGATGCACTAGATGAGAAGGTGACAGCTGTGGTGCAGTTCCTGCTCTCCAAGTATCAAATGAAGGAGCTCACTACCAAGGCAGAACTGCTGGCAATTGTCAGTGAGTACCAGGACCACTTCCCTTTGATATTCAGGGAAGTCTTAGAGTGCATGCAGCTGGTCTTTGGTGTGGATGTGAGGGAAGTGGATCCTGTTAGCCACTCCTATGTCCTTCTCAACAGTCTGGGCCTCACGTATGATGGGTTGGTCGGTGGTGCACAGGATGTGCCCAAGAATGGCATCCTGATCCTTATCCTGAGCTTAATCTTCCTGAAGGGCAACGCTGTCCCTGAGGAGAAAATCTGGAAAGCGATGAGTGTGATTGGCTTGTATGCGGGCTCAGAGCACTACCTCTACGGGGATCCCCAGAAGTTCATCACTGAAGATTGGGTGCAGGGGGGGTACTTGGAATACCGCTGGGTGCCTAACAGCAATCCTCCCTGCTATGAATTCCTATGGGGTCCGAGGACCTATGCAGAAACCAGTAAGATGGAAATCCTTAAGTTTTTGGCCAACATCCATGGGAGTGACCCCAGCTCTTTCCCATTATGGTATGAGGAGGCTTTGAGAGAGGAGGCTGAGAGAGCCAAGGCCCAGGCCAGTATTGCTACAGATGCTTCCATTGCCAAGGCCAGTGAAAATACCCAGGCTCAGTAGTGCGGCCTCTCCTGCCCCAAGTAACCCGGCCAACCCTCACTCTGAAATGGGTGGGCACTGGAGGGCCAGGAGTCGGCATCTTTGTATCCCTGTTCTATGGAGGGACGTGAAGTTTTCTCTTCTTGTTGGTATTTTTCCAATGTTGTTCCTTTGAATAGATAAGGTTTAATTGTCTCTAGAATCATAAGTTTCCCAATGACATTGATCACACAGGCATTGCTTGTCCTGTGATTTAAGAGGAAGGACTTCATTCTTTTATAAGATGCATGGGGAAGGGGCCTGTTTTATTTGCTGAGCGAAAACCAGAGAACGTGGCCTGGCAACAGGAGCTTTTGGGGAAATGTGAACTCCCTCAGCAGTCAAAGAGAGGGGGCCTAAAGAGGTTTGTGTGTCCTTATCCTTTTTCAGTTTGTTGTGTGATGTTGAAAACTCTGGACCTGGATTAGTTACAATTGTAGAATTAATAAAATTGGAATAAAGGAAAGTCTTCACTCTTGGTTTCTTACCACCGCACACACACACACACACACACACACACACACACACACACACGGAGATTCAGGCCAGTGGGGTTAGGGGTCCTACGCAAAGCAAGACAGCACCCCAACTCTCCTTCAAAGAAGGGCAGCATGGTCCAGGACCAAGGGGAACACCGGATGGGAGCGAGCAGTATCCCCCAGAACCTCAAGGCCTAGGGAGAGGGTGTGAGGCAGTGGGGGTCCAGTGGGAGCGGTTGGGGGTCTGTGTCAAGGCCAGGTTGCTTGGAGCTGTGGCCTCACTGAGGATGGGAATGGAACCGTGTGTCCTCAATCTAAATCAGTGACAAGAGGAAAACCTGGTGGAAAACAACGCTTGGTGGTCACTTCTGGGTCCTGGGTAAGCCTGAGACGAAGGCTCACCGGAGGTAAGTCTGGGTGGTATCCTCTGCTCTTGTCCCAGTCTGGAACCACATGTTCCCACCTGCCAGGAGTACCCGAGAAGTGAGTGCAGCTCCCTGTACTGGGAAGACATTCTCACCAAGTCTCAGAGACTGCAATCTGGGCCACTTAGGGCAGGGATCAGAGGGTTGGTGGGGTGGGAAGAATAGAAGCTGTGATTGAGGCGGTGGAGCATCTGGAAGGGAGGGAAGGAGTTGGGCCTGGACTTAAACCCTAGGAGCATCAGCTGGGGATGACGCCCTCACACTAATGCACCCTCTAGGAGGGAGCATGTCCTGAGTCTGAGTGAAGAAAAGACATCTAGTATTTGATTTCCTGCTGAGGTTCTTATCATATGAGAGGCCCGGGCAATATAAAAACCTTCCCAGAAGTAAAAGGTATCCTTGGATGGAAAAAAAAAATCCTAGCAATAACTGTCATTCCGGGAAAATCCAATCATGGCAGCCCGGTGCCAGGGCCTGTGAGCCCACTCATTCAACAGATCAGTACCGTTGCGTGGACTTCAACTCACAGCACCCGATAGGACAGAGTAGAATGGTTTCATAGGGTTTCAGAGACTAAATTTTTGTGGAAGCACAGACTCCTTTTCCTCCAGCAGAGCAGCTGGTGAGTTCCAATCATCAACCATGAGGATGTTTAGCCCACAGTGCCACCACGGATTCTTTACCCAAGAGTCTAGACTATGGTCATTTCCTCAAGATTACAAGGCTGAGGCTAGGACCTGGCCAAGGTACTAAATGGCCCCCTAAGTCTGGAGTATGACAGAGCAAACACAATTTGGGGATCATCTGTGACCGTATTCCCCTGGGTTCCTCTGCCCTGAGCCCTGGGCCCTTTAGGAACCGACTCTGCCTAGGAACTGGCATCACAGTGCGGTCACTCCCACCCTCCTCCACCCCAAGCCTGTGTCTTTCTTTCCAACTCGAACATGGCCATGACCCACTTTGCCCTGCTACCAGAGTCACAGCCCAGGGTCATCTGCCTTGTCCTGTCTTGAGCATCCCTTCCTGCAAAAGCACCCTCACTGCTCCACTCCTCCCCTGGAAGCCCCTGAGTGCAAACAGTATAAATTAGAAAAATTGACTAGGAATGTCTAGTCATCTGGTCACACTCACTGAGCACCTATAAGAAACTTTCTTTCCCGGGTGTACGAGACTGTACCTTTAAGGGATTAGAAAGTCTCCTCTTTTTCTTACAGAGCATCTGGTGGTTGAGAACATCTGGCTTTGTGGTTAGTAGCCCAATGCCTACGGTCAACTCATTCAGCTGCTAACCAAATGGTTGGAAGTTAGTCCACTCAGAAGAGCCTCAGAAGAAAAACTTGGTGATCGGCTTATGAAAAAACGGCCACTGAAAATCCTATGGTGCACAGCTCTGCTCTGTTACTCATGAGGTCAAGAGGCATGGTAGTGGACTCAACAATTGTTTGATGTTTTGTTTTAATATAGAATTCCAAGTTGACAGCTTGTTTTTCTTTTCAGTAATTTAAAGATATTGAAACCTCACTCCTCTCTCCTCTTGCTTGAATTGTTTGGACACAAAATCTGCTGTCATCTTTTTGTTTTGTTTTAAATCATTTTATTGGGGGCTCAGACAACTCTTATCACAATCCATCCATCCATTGTGTCAAGCACATCTGTACATTTGTTGCCCTCAGCATTCTCAAAATATTTGCTTTCTACTTGAGCCCTTGATATCAGCTCCTCATTTTCCCCCTTCCCTCACAAACCCTTGATAATTTATAAATCATTACTATTTTGTCATATCTTACACTGTCCAACATCTTCCGTCACCCATTTTTCTGTTGTCCATCCCCCAGGGAGGAAGTTATATGTAGATCCCTGTGATTGGTTCCCCCTTTTTACCCCACCTTCCCTCCACCCTCCCGGTTTCACCACTCTCACCACTGGTCCCGAAGGGGTAATCTGGCCTGGATTCCCTGTGTTTCCAGCTCTTATCTGTACCAGTGTACATCCTCTGGTCTAGCCGGATTTGTAAGGTAGTATTGGGATCATGATAGTGGATGGAGGTGGGGAGAAGCATTAAGAACTAGAGGTAAGTTGTATGTTTCATCATTGCTACCCTGCACCCTGACTGGCTCGTCTCCTCCCCGCGACCCTTCTGTAAGGGGGTGTCCAGTTTCCTACAGATGGGCTTTGGGTCTCCACTCTGCACTCATTCTCATTTACAATGATATGATTTTTTGTTCTTTGATGCCTGATACCTGATTCCTTCGACACCTCGTAGTCACACAGGCTGGCGTGCTTTTTCCATGTGGGCTTTGTTGCTTCTGAGCTAGAGGGCTGCTTGTTTACCTTCAAGCTTTTAAGACCCCAGACGCTATATCTTCTGACAGCTGGGAACCATCAGCTTTCTTCTCCACAGTGCTCATACAACTCTTATCACCATTCCTCCATACTCACTGGCCAAGGAGTCAATGCTGACTACAGCGACCCCCTCTGGGTTTCTGAGACTGTTAACTCTATGGGAGTAGAAAGTCCAGTCTGGGAGCTGTTGGTGGTTTTGAACTGCTAACCATGCAGATCGCAGCCCAGAGCATAGCCAAAACACCACAAGGGCTTCTTCCATAATAGGCAAATTGTCTTTTTTTCTGTGTTTGCTGTTAGCATTTTCTCTTTATTACCGGTTTTAAGCAATTTACTCATGATGTACCTTGACATCATTTTATCCTTGTTTCCCTCTTCTTCAATCTGTGAACTTGGAGTTGTGATCAATTTTGGAAATTTCTCATTTGCTATTTCTTCACAAATTGTTTTCTATTTCCCACTTTTCCTCTCCTTCGGGGCCTCCAGATGCATGTTTGGTATGTCACTTGTGGCTTCCATTGTTGTTGTTTTTGTTTCTTGTTTCATTCTGAAAAGTTTCTAAAGCTATATCATCATATTCACTGATCTTTTCTTCTGCCATGTCTAATCTAACACTAATCCGAACCAGTGCATTTTTTTGTGTGTAATAGTGATGTACACACAACAAAACCTACAGCAATGTACCAATCTCTCGACATACACTTCAGAGTCATTGATTATATTCTTCTGCAACCTCACTCAGAGCTTGCCAAACCAGTGCTGGTTTTGTTTTGTTGTTGTTGTTTTGGGTAAGAACAAACACTTTAGATTTTATATCTCAAAGCTTGTTTTATATTTTTCTTATATTCCTATTTAATCGTCCCTGTCTTTTGTGAACAGATGGAATACAGTATAACTATTTTAACATCCTTGCCTAATAACCCTCTCATCGGCCTCATTTCTAGACAATTTTGGATTCATTGATTTTATCCTTAATATATTGATTTTCCTTCCCTACTTCTTAGACTGTTTGGTAAGGTTGATTGGATGCCAGACATTATGATGTTTCATTACCTTATTGAGGGTAGATTTTTCATGTATATTTCTTAATTTAATAACTGTTCATGAGTTTTGTTCTGGAACCAGTGAGACCCTTTTGGGTCTTGCTTTTAGACTTTAAGGGGCCCTGGTGGCGCTGTCAGGTTAGTGTTGGACATCTAACTGCAAGGTTGAAATCCACCAGCTGCTCCAAGGAAGAAAGATGAGGCTATCTGAGCCCATAAAGTTTTACGGCCTCAGAAATCCTATACGGGCCTCTCTGAGTCAAAACTGACTCCATTGCCATGGGTTTTCCATTTTAGGAGGTGCGATCAGAGCAGTGTTGAATCCAGACGAAGACTCCTTCACCACTAAGATACATGTGGCGGGGCGGGACAAAGATTCTTTCTGTCGTGCAGATGGTCTCTATGAGTCAGAGCTCGTTTCAGGGCACCTAATAGCAACAACAATAACAATGACTAGAGCACAAAAGCAAACCTCTCTGTGTAATCAAATGCCCCATGAATTAGGAGGTTTCCCAATGTGACTGATAGTAAAGCAATCATGCTCAATCCTCTGTGAATTCCAAAATTCTCTCTCTTGTACAGCTGTGTCCTCTCTGCAGACTCTAGCCACTTTGGCCTCCCTGGACTCCCAGTTCAGTCTCTTCAGCTTCCCATAGGTGTGCAGTCAGCTGGGGCAATGATCGGGACTCACC